AAGTAAACAAAAAACAATAATACGGAACTCTACGCGTACCTAGTGGCAGCTGATCGTGTCACAAAATGAGTTGCATTGTAAAACTAGATAGTTATTGAAGATTGTGCTTCGCACGTGACAATATTCAACATTAGTAACAGATTTATTCAGTTACGCACAGAGTTTTATTTATTTTATAAACAATTCGTTTACATATATATATTGTAGATATATTGATAACAGTTATACAAAACAAAATATTGCTAACGTACCTTGCTGGGAAGAGTCAGTTGAGAGTTCGTTCGTAAGAGCGGTCTTCACTGTCGTTTGTCTTTGCTTGTTTCTTGTGCCAGTGGCTGGGGATATTTCAGTGGTTGGTATGATATTGATGGCGTTGTTAGCAGTAGAGGAGGTGTTGGTAGCAGTAGAGGAGGAGGTGTTGGTAGTAGTAGAGGAGGTGGTGGTGGTGCAGGAGATGGAAGCGGTGGAGGTAGTGAGTTAATTGATTATCATGCGTCGTTTGGGTGGTGTTGTTGTGGGAGAGAGGGTGTTAGATAGGGATGGTGGGGATGGATCGGAGGAGATTAAATATATTCCAGTTTGTTTATTTCCGCGAGCTGCTGTTATCGCGACGTCGAGCTCCGCAGACAGGAACAACCACAAGCCGCGATGCAGTTTCCTGCTCTGTAATATAGATGTACTGTACCCGCCCCACTTCACGGTGTCATAATTTCGAAGTTGTGGTCTTTTTGTCGCCTGATCCTCCTGAGTACTGCAATGTAAGCAGTCTAAAGAATAATCGATTATTTTTCGATTGGGGGAGGGGGTTTACTGTGCCGTATGTTTGGATAGACGTGCGTGATGGGGTCAGTTCATTAGTGGCCGTCTTAGTGACATGTAGGAAGTAGGCCGTTATCTAACAAATTAGATTATATAGTATTTAGTATACAATAATCATATTGTCCTCTAATAGTTGTACGAACATTTTAATGATCAAAACATGATTTATTATTATGTGCGTAAAAAGGGTGATGTTGCGGTGATGTTGCGGTGTGATGTTGCGGTGTGTACTTACGGTGTATACTTGCGGTATGCATTTGTGATGTGTATTTATATGGTTGCGGGAAGTTTTCTTGAAAAGATATAATTTACATATTGAGATTAAAGAAAAAGCTTTTTACATTTATTGATGATGCAATACTTTTTTGTACGCGAAATGATAGTTGCCAATGTGTTAGACTCTTTATGGCTGTATTTTAACATTATATCCACCAACACAGAACCTCCTTTATGTTCGAGAGTGCGTAAATATTCTCGTTAGCGATTTCTTTATTTGTTCATCGGCTGACATAATAAAACTGCCTTGAATAGTTGCAGTGTTGCTCGGCATGACACGTTTTTCCGACAGTTCAGCAGCGAGTGAGCGAGAGATAATTTTTTAGTAAGACAGCGCAAAGGATTAGTGACCCCTACTTTAGAGAGATAAAGAGATAGAGATAGAGATAGAGAGAGCGAATAAGCAAGATAATTTTTAACAGCATTTGAAATTCATACAAAGATCCAAATTCACACAGCGACCGAAATTCTCTCACAATGACTAAAATTCTCACGTTGACTTTCTTTATTGATTCGAGGGGTGTGTCATGTTTCTTCTCCTTTTGTTTCTTCTTTCTCCTTGTCTTCACCTTCATCTTCGTCTCGATTCTTGATTTTTTTTTCAAAAAATTTTTTTATTTTTTGTTTTACTGTTGACAGAGTGGCGGAATTTATATTCTTTTGGAGAGAAAGGATGTGTATAATTATCTTTGGCAAATAATCCAGTACTAGTTGAGAACTAAAATTCACATAAAACGTATCATTTGTGGGAATGTGGCTTGGTGAGAATGTGGCTTAATGTAGTAATAAGAAAAATTCGTTACATCTAAGGGGCACCGACTAAATTGGAATTGTTTAAATTTGACTTGGTTTTTTTTATTTTAATAATAAAATTTAAATACAAGAGAATGCCAAGGCCGAGAGATAGAGGGTGAGAAAAGATGTGTGACAGAGATCGAGGCTGAGACCTTGTGAGAGATTTGGGCAGAAAGATTGTTCCAAATTTGATGGGACATCAGAAGGCCGATGTTTTAATTTTGATATTAATAATCAACTGATTATAATAGTTGCAAGACGATATGAACCTGGGTTTTGCATCAGGTCTTGATAGTAATTACGAAGCATAACAACTTTCTCTTTGAAGAGATCATATGACGAGAACTAAAATTCACATGAACATAAATGTTTGTGGGAACATGACTTGGTGAGAATTAATAAGGATCAGTGGTTGAAGATTGGGAAGTTCATGTGAACGATACGTTAGGTGCTACACTTTTTCGTGTGAAAAAGCTTTTGTTTTTATTAATTAAAAAATAAAATAACGTTAATAAACGAATTTTTAATCAGCTATTAATTTAAGTAAACTTGTATTACAATTACTTTTGAGGGGGAGGGGGTGGTTGTATTTACGAAGATAATGTAAACGGAGTTGTTTCTGCTACATGTTTTAAACGATCATATTCTTCGACAACAGATCTATTTACTGGAAATGCTTCTTTTAAGAATTGGTATCTCTACAGCATCCCATGGCGGTGCTCTGCTGAGGGCAACGTATGCCTGGACAGGAGCGAAAAATTGGGAATCAAGGAAAACTGAAATTTGAGGTAATGTCAATCCTTGTAAGGGGAATTATGTTCGAGATGCGGGATTACCATTGACGGTAAAGTGTATTGTTTTTAGACGGTACGTTTTCTACGCAGGTAGGAATCTCGGCCAGGATAGGACATGGGGAAGGCGTTGACTTACACGATGCACACACGGCCAGTTTCATGTTGGCTAGTTGTACAAGAGACGCGAACAATACGAACAGGGAATACAAGGAAACTGAGCATAATCTACTTCATGGAATCTGCGTAGAATTTGTATCAAAGCATCGGAAGGACGCCAAAAACGTCTGCTCAATTTCTTGCAAACGTGTAGGAATAGACATGTTAATTGAAGGGGGAAATATATGAGAAGTGGATTGGGAGAAGTTAACGATCGACTCGTATGGTGCCAATGAATCGAAAAAAAAGTTGTCAACGATTCGAGACAATTTGTTCGAGTAATAAATTAGTGATATTTTTATTAGTAGAAAAGTTGATATTGTCTTGAAGACAGAATCATGATTTATATATTTCGATTTACATGTTGTCTTGTAGTCTTCTTTGTTATCTGAGTTTTGTGAGCGTAAAATAAACAAAATGAGTTTTACACTTATTAGTATCAGTCAAAGATTGTATAGTCATGCATAATTATAAACGTAAATTACTGCCGTCTTCCATAAATAGTAAAGTTTTCATAAAAGAATCTATCGTAAGTTATCGTTGTCTTCCGTAAATCAATTATAAGAACTTACATTCATCTCCCATAGCGATGGTTATAGCCGAATGCGTTATTCGTTGTAAGTTTAAGTTATCGTTGTCTTCCGTAAATCAATTATAAGAGCTTACATTCATCTCCCATATAGCCGAACGCGTTGTTCGTTGTAAGCTTAAGTTATCGCTGTTTTCCGCAAATCAATTATAAGAGCTTACATTCATCTCCCATAGCGATAGTTATAGCCGAACGCGTTGTTTGTTACAAATTAAAAAGAATTGTGCAATATTATCTATCGGTGTAAGCTTAAGTTACTGTTGTCTGCCGTAAATTGATTATAAGAGTTATGAATTACTTACTTTCATCTCCCTTAGCGATAAAGTATAGCCGAAACTAACGTTATTTATTGGTACAAATTAAAAAGGATAGTACAATTATAAGCTTAAGTTCATTCTTGTCTGCCGTAAATCGAATTACTTACTTTCATCTCTCTTAGCGATAGTTATAGCCGAACGTCTGAACTAATATTATCGTTACAAATTAAAAAGGATTGTACAATTATTTATCGTTGTAAGTTTAAATTATTGTTATCTTCTGTAAATCAATTATAAGAGCCGTGAATTGCTTACATTCATCTCCCTTATTGTAAAATCTGATTATGTTAATCTTTTGTCAAATCTTTAAATAAAAAACGAAACTCGCAAATTGTCCTGACTTAATGAAACATGGGTCTCTCATTCATACCATCGTGCTGTCATATAATATAGACTACAAATAACGTTTGTTGATGTAGATTGTTTTGATGTAAAAAAAAAATCAACAATCCCGAAGCGTTATTACATTTTACGAGGCTGACATGTTTTCGAAGACGTGCGATCATTCTAAATGTGAGTGAATTGGTATAGTTTATTCGTCATGTACACAATTTTTGCGCGTTGTTATCATTGGTCACCTTCTGCATATAGGGGATGTGAAAAGGTCTAGAAACTTCCTAGTACTGTAGTAATACGTCATTGATTAAGCCACTGATCAGCGTTAGTATATTAGTATTAGATCACATCCGCGCAGCAGCATCTTTCTATCATAACAAAACGAACAACGACACATGGCAAGCGTTGAAGAAATCAGACGAGAGTTGAAGAAGGCGGAGAAGAGGCTAGAGAAGGCAGAGGATGCATTGAAAAAGTTCAGAGATGGACCCCGTGGAAGGCGACTGTACATCCTATATGACAAAGAGTTGGAGGACGCAGGACTTGATGAAGCGGAGCGAAAGGAGAAGAACCGGCTGGCGAATAGTGAGGAAAATCTGGAGGGTGCTGCAATTAGTGCGGGGAAGGCAGTGGACAATTTGGTAGCGAAGCTCCTGGACATGCCCACGACAGGTAACGGCTTCGTGAGTCAGCCTTGGAGAGCATAGCAAATATTTTCTATCTATTGACAATCATGACTAATGAGTTCTCGCGATTTCCTTTTTTCCTACTGATTGTTGCAAAATATAAGAGTTGACCAAAGGAGAAGGTACCCATCTGGGAACATTTAGCCTTTCGAGAGATTGTGCTGTTTTGTTGCTGCATCCAAAGGAACATCAGCGTGACATTGACTACTAATTCGTGCTTTTTTTTCCCACTATGGCGCTTCTCATTTCACTTGAAGGTATATGATCCTGTTTGCGACGTCGACTTCCCTTTTGCATGCTCTATCTCATTAACTACCTACTGTGATCATATTTAGAATCGCGTCGAAGCTCGACAGATAGCGTCAAGAGCGTTCAAAGAAAGCGACGGCTAGAGATCTTGCAAGATTATGTGTCGACCCACAAAAAGAGGAAGTCGGATGGCAAACTGGCGTTTTCCGAATACGACTGGACTACAGTATCGGATGCATTCGGCGTGAAATCTGGGTAAAAACTCTAGTTTCTATTTTTTTTTCCTACAGAGCTTTTTATTCATGTAACAAATCCATTCTATTGATATTGGGTTAGGTTTGGTGCCGACATATTCGATCCACCCAACGCAGACGTGCCATCTGACACGCTTGATGAAGTCATGCGCAATCTGAAAGTAAGTAATAGTAATGTACTGATTTTGTACAGATACGCGTTCTGATAGCTCTTTAGCTTCTCCGTAAAGCGATGGGACGACCTAGCGCTGGAGTGGCGGCAAAAAGAAGATATTTCATTGGAGCAGTTATCTTTAGCTGCGCTGGTAGGTATCATATATGTGTCTTCTGTCAATTATCTCTAGCTCATTGAAACAGTTTCGACTAGTTTTTGTAAGCGATGAAATAGCTGTAGACATTGAGAGCTCGTTAGTTGGCAAGGAAATTCCAGCAAATGGTAACGTGGAATTTCTTGTCAGGATTGGAAATTTCGTGATCTGCATCGTCGAGGCAAAGAAATCCGATTTTGACCAAGGGCGCGCTCAGAATTACGTCGAGTGCGAAGTGGCTTACGAGGTGTGCTGCGATGTTGGCATGTATTTTCGACATTTCCCGTGTCATTAACCGACGATGTTCTAGTTGAACGGTGGGAGGCAATCCATTGTGTATGGTATCGTATCAAATTTTGTAGACTGGGTATTCGTTCGTTTGACGGACGAAGACGTGAAAGAAGCAGAATATTCCGTTATCTTTGACAAGGAAGGCTATCCTGGCCGTGCGTCCGTGGAGAAAATTTGCAGTGTCGTCATGGGGATTTTTTTTGAAATGAAGAGGCTAGCGAGTAGTTCCCAATAAGACTCTTGTCGCGACCCAGTCTACGAAGGCATTTTATGGAAGGATACAGCTTCAAGCCATCTGACGATACGATCAGTGCATCTGTCAAGACCAGCAATTGGATATTGCTCAATTTGATAATGATAATAAAAGTATGAATTGGTCAAGGCGTGCATTCTCTTGTTTGTCGCTTTTAAATTTGAAAATTTGCTTTCTTTATTGGGTTTAAACGCTTGCTTAGTGTGCCACTCCAAAGGCAGTAATGAGGTGAAGTTAATGAAACGTCGAAAGAATCGTGGCATAAGCTGACCAATCAGATCAATTACATCGCATGTATAGCATAATCATGTTGACAATAATGGCAAAGTCATAAAATTATATATAGGATTACACGTATATGATAAGTAACGAATATAATGGTTCTGCTGAGTATGAAAAAGCCATGCGTTTCTTGGAGATAGGTTGCAATTGTGGTTGTTCGAAAATGATTCCGAGAGAAAAGTTTGCTGAATTACGTAAAGCATTTCAAGCTCTCTCTAGATCTGAGCAAGATATATTTGTAATGGCTCAGTTGAAAGCAATGAATAGTGGAGAAATAACTGCCAGTCGACGTCTTAAAAAGAAAACACGTACTAATAAAAGAACTTTTTATTATTGAGATCGCAACACACCTCTTTGTCAGAAAACGTATCTCAATATGTTAGGAATTGGTCGCACTCACTTCGAAAATGTCAGGAATCATCTAGCGGCGAATGGTATAATACTGCGCGTTCATGGTAATGTAAAAAGAGTGCCGCGATGGAAGACCAAAATAACCATTGATATATGTAACTGTTGCTACCGCAGTGAAGAATTTTCGCTGAAATTCATGGATTACCAAGTCCTGGTAGAAATGTAAACCGAATTACTCAAGCGCTTACACTTCTGCCAGCCGAAACGAGTTATAAATCGGTCTATCGTGATTTTATTGCAGGTCTTGAAAACGATAACATGTTGAAATTGTTAAAATATGATGCGTTTCGTAAGTTATGACATCAATTAACGCCTTATGTTCAAATTATGAGTCCACGAACGGATTTATGTGACACGTGCCAACATTTTCGGAACGGCCTACAGTATAATGCTCGTAAGGAAGAAGAAGCAAAAGATTTATTGAAAAAATTCAAAGAACATCTAGTTAAAGCTAAGTTAGAGAGAAACTATTACCACAAAAATACGAAATTAGCAGAACAACAGAGGAAATTAGTAGATGAACATTTTGTAACGAGAGGTAAAGCTGATTATTGTAGCGTTGATGCTAGTGCTCATTACAGTTACGATTGGGCACAAAACGTTCACGTGCCCCATTCCGATCAACAGGTAAGTAAAATTTATTATCTCAGTCCACGTAAAGTACATTTATTTGGTATTCAAGATGAAGCAGTACGCGAACAAAT